GGGGCTGGACCCAGGCACTAGGGACTCCAGAGCTCTGCCCTTTGTCCTGTTCCAGGCTGCTCCCTGAGGGCTGGGCTGGGTGGAGCTGGCAGGAAGGGATGTTGAGGCTGCCAGAAACTCGCCAGGAATCCCTGGCAGAGGGCACTGGGGCAGGGGCAGGCCCACTGGGGCCGTGGGTGCAGACTAGGGCAGAGGTAGGGCAGAGGGGATTTGGCTTTGGGGGGTGTCCCACTTACTGGGCACTGGACCTTTCTTTGCCCTAAAGAGCTTCTGGACAGCTGAATCCGACTTCTGGGGACTGAACAGGAATAAGGAGGGCGGTGGGGAAGGAAGTGGGGTGGGGGTGGATAGGGGATGGAGGAAGGGCCAGGTCTGGGGCCTGGGAGGAAGCAAAGGCTTCTGAAGTCGGGAAGCCTAGAATCAGATGCAGGCGGGGACAATGAGTGGCTGAATAAAAGAGCAAACATTGCACCAACAGTCTCTGTGTGCCTGGTGCCTGGTCTCTTTCTGTATGTGTGTGTGTGTGTGTGAATTTAGAAATACGGATCAAATCTAGCTATGTTGCCTAGACTGGTCTCGAACTCCTGCGCTCAAGCAATCCTCCTACCTCGGTCCCCCAAAGTGCTGGGATTTCTTTTCTTGTGGGTTTTTTTGTTTTTTCATTCTCAAGGGAGGTGATGAGATTTCTTTATGTGTTGTATGCGAAGTGACTCATGTCACCTGCCCCACAACCCATGAGGGAGGGACCATTATCATCCCTTTTGGCAGATGACAAAATTGAGGTACAGAAAGGTGACGTGACCACCTGGGGTCACACGGCCAGCAGGGGGCAGCTCCAGGGCAGCGCTGCTGATCTCTGCTGTTTTTGTGTGCTGCTCCCTCTGTCTGTGCTTCAAAGTATATGCTTTCTGGTCAGGTGTGAGGGTGTCTGGGGTTCACGTGTACATATGCACCTCTGCAGGTATGTGTCATGGCTAGCGTGTCCTGGCCTGTGTCCGTCGGCACTGGTACGTTTGAAGGTATGAATGTTTGTATGCAAGTGTCATGGCCTATGTGTGTTTCTTAGCCTGTGAATGTATCTGTGTCTCTGTTTCTTTTGGCCTGTGAGCTTGTGTGGGCGTATTTGTTTATGTATAAACGGATATACATGCTTGTGCATGTCTTGGTCTCTGCGTGTGTGTTGAGAACAACCCTCTCCCCATTTGCTTAAGCTAGAACCCAGGATGTCATCCTGGCCACCTCCCCGCACACCATCTCCCATGTAATCCATCCCCTAGTCCTGCCCACTCTGCCTACCAAAGGCCTCTGGAACCTGGCCCTTCTCCCCACCTCCACTGCCTCCTCCCTGGTGCAGGCTGTAGCATCATTATCTGGGTGACTGTGACAGCTCTTTATATATTTCTGATTTTGTTCTCTTTGTTGTCTGCATAGCAGCCACAGGATCCTTCTAAAACATAAATCTGTTCACACACTTCCAACCCTTCACCCTCTCCTTTGCTTTCAGGATAAAGCCCCCAATCCTGGACATGGCCTCCCAAGCCAGGTACCATCCTCCTCTCTCTCTCTCTTTTTTTTTTTTGAGATGGAGTCTTGCTTAGTCGCCCAGGCTGGAGTGCGGTGGCGCGATCTCGGCTCACTGCAAGCTCCGCCTCCTGGGTTCACGCCATTCTCCCGCCTCAGCCTCCCGAGTAGCTGGGACTACAGGTGCCCGCCACTGCGCCCGGCTAATTTTTTGTATTTTTAGTAGAGACGGAGTTTCACCATGTTAGCCAGGATGGTCTCGATCTCCTGACCTCGTGATCTGCCTGTCTCAGCCTCCCAAAGTGCTGGGATTACAGGCGTGAGCCACCGTGCCCGGCCTCTCTCTCTCTTTTTGAGACAAAGTCTCATTGTTGCCCAGGCTGGAGTACAGTGGTGCCATCACAGCTCACTGCAGCCTCAACCTCCTGGGCTCAACTGATCCTCCCACCTCAGCCTCCCAAGTAGCTGGGACTACAGGTACACCCGACAATCCCTGGCTAATGTTTGTATTTTTGGTAGAGATGGGGTCTTGCAGGCCGGGCGTGGTGGCTCAAGCCTGTAATCCCAGCACTTTGGGAGGCCGAGACAGGTGGATCACGAGGTCATGAGATCAAGACCATCCTGGCTAACACGGTGAAACCCCGTCTCTACTAAAAAATACAAAAAACTAGCTGGGCGAGGTGGCGGGCGCCTGTAGTCCCAGCTACTTGGGAGGCTGAGGCAGGAGAATGGTGGGAACCCGGGAGGCGGAGCTTGCAGTGAGCCGAGATCGTGCCACTGCACTCCAGCCTGGGCGACAGAGCGAGACTCTGTCTCAAAAAAAAAAAAAAAGAGGTGGGGTCTTGCTATGTTGCCCATGCTGGCCTCAAACTACTGGACTCAAGGGGTCCTCCCACCTTGGCCTCCCAAAGTGCCAGGATTACAGGTGTGAGCCACTGTACCCAGCTACCATCCTCTCTTAACCTGCCTGAGCTGTTTCCTCTTCCTCTTCCTCCTGGCCCTGGCTGAGCTCCCTCTGTACTGTAACTCAATGCTTCCTCAAGCCTCAGGTCTTTCTCTATCCTGTCCACTCTGTTCCCCTGCCTGCCCCCTGCACACTTAACGCCTGTCCATCCTTGGGTCCAATATTGCCTCCTTGGGAAGCCTCCCAATTCTATCTTCCCAGGGTGTTTTTCTCTGTTGTATTTATGACAGTTTACAATCATAGTCTTATCTGAGTAACATCTGTGTCCCCAGCTCAACTGTGAAGCTGTTCTTCTTGCTACCGAGAGCCCAGGCCTAGCACAGCTCAGTGTTCAATGAATGTCTGCTGAACGAATTTGTGTGACTGGAACCTCTTGGGCCCAGAATCAAATTTGGGCCCACAGCAGTTGTGGGCCCACAAACTCCCTGCCTGGAGGAGGCTGGGGCAGCCATCTCTTTGCCCTCACTGGCCAAGTAAGGAAGCCTAGGCGGCCTTGGTCCCTCAGAGCCCCAGTGTCATCATCTGGGAAATGGGGTGATCATAAGGACACTAGCCTCATCCAGTTACTGGCAAGATGAAACTGATGACGAGGATTGCTCCAGCCAGCCCAGATGCCCTTGAGGCAGGAGTGAGGTCTGATTAATTTATCTAAAGCCTGGCACGAGGGCGGGGCCTTAGGAAATAATGACAGGCAAATCTTAGAGTTTGCAGGAATGAGCCTTTGTGAATGGCTCATTTTGCAGGGAGCCCTGCCCAACTGGATTCTGACTCCTCATGACAACCCCAAGGGAAGCATGAGTATTATGATCTCTGTTACAGTTCACACATTCCTTCACTTATTAATCCAATAAATATTTGAGTGCCTATTTGCCTGGCATACCAAGCTCTGGAAGTACAGGGTAAACAAGGCAGATACAGTCCTGCTTTTAGGATGTTCACTGTCTAGTGAGGACTAACAGTAACAATAACCTTCAGTTCTCCTGAGGGTTTGCTGTGTGCCTGTGCCAAATGCTCTACACTCACTCTAACCTCACAAAAGGAGGTACTCCTATCATCATACCCATTTTAGAGCTCAGAAAGCTGAGGCAGGGAAAGAGGGAGTCTCCTGCCCAGCACATCACAGCTCCCAGCCTGAGGAACCAGATCTCCAACGCCCACGTTTCTTAACTACAGTCTGTACTGCCTCTGGGTATGCTATGCTGGTGTGAGGCTCAGTGTCTTGCTGTGACAGCGAGTGCCCTTGGGCTTCAGTCTGTCTGCCCTCTGAGCCTGTCTGAGCCTGCGTGTGTCTGGAGCCAACTCCAGGTCTATTCTGGGCTAATGATGTGTTCTATGGCAGGGGAAGCAATGAGTTTGGGGTCCCGGGGGCTGAGGGGTGGTGTTAGTTTCCTTCCTGCATGGGAACTTCCCACAGGTCCCCATGCTGATTGATAACTGCTTCTAACTGAGGACCTGCCCCTGCCTGAGGCTTGCAGCATTTCTGTTGGTCTGTCAGCCTTTGTTCTGCCTTTTGAGACCTGAAAATAATGTGACACCCTAGAGAAATCAGGCCTTCCCTTTTCCTGAGGCAGGTGTGCAGGTCTGCAGGTCTGAAGCCAAGCCAGGGCCATTTGTCCTGGAAAGGGTAGGGGCCAGGGGTAGGCCACAGTGGAGCTGGCTGAAGCAGGTGGGCTGACAATGAATGGTTGGATGGATGGACTGACTTGCCGAGTGGGAGGCCGGGACTGCGATGAGCTTTACTGGCCTCGCTGCACTCTCCACTATGGGTACCCCTTCCTCCTACCTCTCCTTGACTCACCCCTAGACTTCCTCTTGGAGTAACACCTGCTAACTTCCTTCCCCCTTATCCTCTCAAGAGCGCTGGAGCCCTGAACATCGGCGCTTTTGAACCATTCCCCAGGTGGAAAAACACTGAGGGCAGCCGTTGCCCTTGGTCACACAGCGAATACGGAATCCGAGCGGGAACCTGGGTCCACGAGGCTCGCATTCCGGACTCTGCTCCCAAGCCGATCCGGGCGTCAGCTAGTCCCTGTGCCAGGGTGGGCCTCTCGGCTCTCACATCACCCCCTTCTCACAGTGGATCATCCCGTTTTCCCCGCAAGCGGCAATGGGCCAGTCCGTAGACCCCCCCACTCCTCGTGGCAGTGGGCCAGTCCACGCTGTCCCCACTCCCCCGCAGGATGTACGAGGTTCCTTCCGGGCTGCTCCAGGTCTCCGCGCGCTCACCTTTGGCCTTGCCTTTTCGCCACCGCCGGCGACCGCGGCTCCTCGAGACCTCTTTGGCATTCTTCGAGGCCGGGGCCATAGCGGCCTCGGCGGGTTCCATTCCCCCGGCCGACTCCATCAATTCCCCGCGGTCCTCGCGCGGGGGCCAATTCCAGCCGCGAGGCCCTGCCCAGGGGGCCAATCCTCGCTACACACTACCGTCGGGCCCCCCTATTACCCAATCCCGAGCTTGCTATTCTCTGGGTCCTGCTCCCTAGCCAATCCTGGTCTCCCTCCGCTGCCGTGCTCCGCCCCCAACCGCCAGAATTTAAGATCTGGCTCCGCCCTCCTATCGCGCATTAAAGGGCTCGCGGCCAACAAAAAGGCAGCCCTGGGGGCGGCGAAAAGCGTCCTTCGGGCAGGACTAGTGCGGAGCCCCGCGGGGAGCACCCCAGCAGGGAAGTCCCAGTCTTCCCACGTGCTGGGAAGCCTCCCATGTGCTGGCTCAGTCTCGCCATCCCACTCACCTTCCCAGGGAGGGATCCCCTAGAACGCGGCCCGGCCCGCCTTTTGAAGGGGTAAAAGTGGGGCGCCTCTGGGCCTCCGCCTGGGGTGGGGGCGGGCCAGGTCCTCTGCCAAGTCAAAGACGAGGCGGGGCGCCAGCGCTGGAGGCGTGGCTGTGCCTGAGAGCCGTTGGAGGAGGGAGCACCGCCTTCCCTCTCCCGGCCCCTAGTTCTCCTATTGCGCTTTTCCTGGGGGATCTTTCTCCCTCTGTCTCCGCCCCCCAATCCCTGCTTCCGAGAATGGGGGTGGTGGGTGGTGGTGGCGAGGACGCTCGGCGCCTGCGCACTAGCTTCACGCCGCTGGCCGGCCCAAGAGCGGAGGTAGAGGGAACGACGCATGCCTGAGAAAAGGCGGGAAACATAGGAGGCTCGAGGCTTGCGCACACGCACACAGCTAACTGCTTCTGGACCGCCTGAGAGGCGGCCTCACCCGCCGTGGCGGTGTGGGGCGGGCATCCCTTGAGACTGTGTTCTGGATGCCTGGAGAAACAGCTTTCCATCCTCAGCACTGGGGAGAGCAGACCTCGATCCCTGTCTTTGCCTGCTGCCCCTCCTCCTTCCCTCTCAAAGCATACCCACCAGCCCCGGCTCTGAGAAACGCGTTATCCTCTTATCAGCTGTGGGAGAGACAGGACGGACTGGCTTCTGGGCGGTGGGGCCGCCATTGCCTGCCCTCTGGACCAGGGCCTCACAGATGCCCTCAACTTCAGGATTAGGGCTGCGTTGCTTTTTCCCCCCACGACAGGGGACTTCAACAAGTAACCTCCAGTTCCAGAGATAAAACTTGCATTCCTCCCTTCTCCATAGCAGGGGTTTTGAGCCTAGAGAAGGAAGATCCGAGCTTCCTGGGGCTCCTATGAAGCAGGCAGGGGGCAGCATTGGGCCCCGGGAAGAGGCAGAGAAGGCGAGAGAGCGCCTGCAGCGAGCCCAGAGCCTTGGGCCCGTTATCCTCTGATGCTGCTCCCCCAACTTTCCTGCCGTCAGCCCCTGACCTTGCCTGAGACCTTGGCGGCTCCCGCACCTCCTCCCAGCTCCTCCTTGCTGAGAACACAACCCGCAAGGCCATTCCGCCTGGCTGGACTGAGTCCCCTATGGGGGCAACCTGGCAGGAAGCAGGTGTCTTCCTGGCAGCAGAGGACAGACCTGGTAAACTGAGAGACTGTTGATGCCCCGATGTTCTGCCTAGCCTGCATGGAAACTCCAGAAGGGTAAGGTCCCATCTGGCATTGTATTGCTGGGACTTATGCCTGTGTCTGCCCCAGAGCTGGTGCTTGGTCAGTTTCTGTGGATGGATGAATGAATACTGGCAAGAGGGCCACTTTCCTCGTCTCCTGGTCCCTAGCCCAGAGTGCCTTCCCACTCTGGGATTTGATTTTCCCCAGATCCTCTGTAGGGAGGGAGCCTGGTCCAGGGGAGAAAGACCCCGGTTTCAAATACTGACTTTGCCACTTCCTAACTGCATGGCCCTGTGCAAGAACCCTTACTTCTTTATTTTTCTGCCTCAGTGTCCTCATTTATAAAATGAGGATGTTGGCCAGTTGCTCGGTGGCTCATGCCTGTAATCTCAGCACTTTGGGAGGCCGAGGTGGGAGGCTTGCTTGGGGCCAGGAGTTCGAGACCAGCCTGGGCAACATAGCGAGCCCACGTCTCTAGAAATGTAAAAATTAGCTGGGTATGGTGGTGCACCTGTAGTCCCAGCTACTCGGGAGGCTGAGGTAGGAGGATCGCTTGAGCCCAGGAGTTTGAGGCTGCAGTGAGCTGTGATCGTGCCACTGCACTCCAGCCTGGGCGACAGAGTGAGACTTCGTTTTTTCTTTTTTTGAGATGGAGTCTTACTCTGTCGCCCAGACTGCAGTGCAGTGGCGCGATCTCGGCTCATTGCAACCTCCACCTCCCGGGTTCAAGCGATTCTCTGCCTCATCCTCCTGAGTAGCTGGGATTACAGGCACCCGCCACCATGCTTGGCTAATTTTTGTATTTTTAGTAGAGATGGTGTTTCACCATCTTGGCTAGAATGATCTTGAACTCTTGGCCTCAAGCAATCCACCTGCCTTGGCCTCCCAAAGTGCTGGGATTACAGGCGTGAGCCACTGTGCCCGGCTTTTTTTTTGTTTGTTTAATAATGGGAATGTTGATCTTTATCTCAGGATTGTTGAAGGATAACCAGAGCTAACCTGATACACCATAAGTTTTTAGTATTTCTTAAGTAAATGAATGACTGTCCCTGAGAGGCTTCAATTCCTCCAGGTTCAAACTCACCTGTATCCTGGTAGTGTCTGTGATTCTGGGCACTGGTTTTCTTATGTGGCGACGTCCCACCATATCCTGACATCACTTTATAACCAGATTTTCTTTTGAAGGGTAGCTTCACTCCCTGGGCCACCATTCCACCCATCGTGGCTAGAGACTCTGTGTCTGAAGATGATCCCACCTCTGATTCTGACTCAGAATCTGTGACCCACTCAGAAAGTGCCTTCCACTCTAGGGCTGATCGCTGTATGGATAGTTCCTGCAGTTTTGTTAGAAATCCCAGCTCTATCAAAGATCCCTGCTTGGATTTGGCTCCCTGGACTGGAGTTGTTTGCTGGTCTGACTGTTCAGGTGTCTCTTGGGATGTAGATTCAGTCGGGTCTGATGGCTCCCTTTTGGCTCCAGGTTTAGCCTGGGCCTCAGGTGTTGATTCCGCTTCTTGTTGAACTGGAGGTGGCTCTCCTGGCCCAGACCCTGGCTGGGCTACATGTCTTTCTCTCAATGCTGGCTCCTGTTGAGTTGTAGATTCTTTTCCTAGCCCAGGTCCCTGCTGGGAGGCAGGTTCCTGTTGAGTGAGGGGCACCCTTTTGATGTGAGGTGATTGCTGTGGTGCAGGCTTCTGTGGGGCAAGAAATTCCTCTTGTGAAGCAGATTTTTGTTGGGCTCTAGGATCCTTCTGGGATTCAGCATCATGTTGTGCAGGGGTCTCCTGCTGGGTGAGGGGTCTTTGCCTTGAATCAGGCTCCTGTTGGGTCTTCGATTCTGGCTGGGCTATGGGTGTCTTTTCTGGCTCTGGCGTGGTTATAGGCCTCTGGTGTGGCTCAGGTTGCCAGTCTGGCCTAGATGCTGACTTAGAACCTGGCTCCATTGTTACTTCCCTCACGGGAGATATTGATCTTCCAGGTTTCATCCTTCTGGGCTCCCACCCAGCCTTCTCTCTTCACAGATATCTCATTGATTCCTCATGATGGCACGTTCCCTTGGGTTTCACTCCATCCTGGCATCATTGGTCTTCCTTTTTAAGGCAGCTGGCAGTGGGCCGATCACAGCTGGCCCCCACTAAGTAGTGAACTCTGTGCCTCTTTCTTTGGTGGGAGGATTAGGAATAGGAGGAGGCTATGTGCCCAGCACTCTCTTACAAGAAGGGAGGGGCTTGCTCTCTTGTGTCATAAATAGGGCCCCAGGGCCCCACCCCACCCACCACTCAGTTAAAATGTTTCTTCTCATAAGGCAAGCATCCCAGTTTAGGCTTCTGTGTCATCTGGGATGATAGAAGCCAGATGCTGGATAAGTGTTCCTTTTTCCTCTCTCATTCTGATGTTTGAGGAAAGCGTCATTCAGGGGGCAGTCTCTGTAGTTGTTGTAATAATTATTTCCTTCTTTGTTCCTTCCTACAAATGGTTGCCAGATTATTTATTTATTTATTTATTTATTTATTTATTGAGACAGAGTCTTGCTCTGTTCCCCAGGCTGGAGTGCAGTTGTGCTATTTTGGCTCACTGAAACCTCCACCTCCTGGGCTCAAGTGACTCTCCTGCCTCAGCCTCCCAAGTAGCTGGGACTACAGGCACGCACCGCCACGCCTGGCTAATTTTTGTATTTTTAGTAGAGATGGGGTTTTGCCATGTTGGCCAGGCTGGTCTTGAACTCCTGACCTTAAGTGATCCGCCTGCCACCCTCCCGCCCCAGGCCTCCCAAAGTACTAGGATTACAGGTGTGAACCATCACGACCAGCCAGGTTGGCAGTTTAATTTCCTTATATTGTCACTCTGATCATTTAACTCCCATGCTAAAAACTAATGTCATGCCCTCCCATCTTTATAGCTTGAGGCCCTTCTGAATGACATTTGAGATACTCCATGCCATCTCTCTAGCCCTGAACTATGATCCTGTACTAGATTGGAAACTCAAAGACAGTGACCACTGATGATGATAACTGATAACGATGGTGGTAATGGTGATGATAGTAGTTATAAATACCAAAGGCTGCCTAAGTGCTAAGAAACTGTGCCAATTTTTTTTTTAAACCTATATTATCTTTAGTAAGACCATGTCCGGTTCATTGGTATACTTTTTTTTTTTTTTTTTGTCCTACCTAGCTCTTACCTCAGAAAGATTTGTTGAATGAGTGAAAGATGAACAAGTAGGCCAATGGAGACAGAGTGAGGGTCTTGGTGGGGAGAATTATGTGTAGAATCTGCATTCAGTCTGCAGTGAATAGAGTAAAATGGGTCATTTGGATGTGAATTGGCAGACCCCATTTGAAAGAAACAATTTTGATCTGTTACATTTAAAAATATTTATTGACTTCTGTTTGCTACTTTCCTGATTGTATTTAGGTTAAATGACACCAGCTAGGAAGCTACAGTTTCCTGGAATCTTTCAGATAATTAAGCCTAAGCCTGGGTAAGGGGAGGGCACAGGATAGGACTGACAAGAGAAGAAGGTACTAGAGAGAGCAACAACCAAAATGATCTTGAGAAACATGCTTTTTGAGAGCACTGGAATGATTTAGGGGTGGGTACAGTGGAAGAGTGAGGTGGGAGAAGAAGAGTGTCTGGTAGATGTGCTCACTGTCTTCTTGACTGAGAATATTTAATAGGAAGAGTGGGAGCTCAGAGCTCCTACAAAGGCAGAACAAAGCTTCTTAGCTGACATTGTTTGAGAAATTGCTGGCAGGCTCTGGAATGCTTGTTTGGCTTTCTGTGGTGCTTTTGGTGTCCTAGGGTGCAAATAAAGGGGAGAGGCTAGTGTTAACAACATTTTTAACATTTCTTTCTTTTTATTTTTTATTTTGGAGACGGAGTCTTGCTCTATCGCCCAGGCTGGATGGAGTGCAGTGGCACGATCTCTGCTCATTGCAACCTCTGCCTCCCAGGTTCAAGTGATTCTCCTGCCTCAGCCTCCCGAGTAGCTGGGATTACAGGTGCCTGCCACCATGGCTGGCTAATTTTTGTATTTTTAATAGAGACAGGAATTTACCATGTTGGCCAGGCTGGTCTGGAACTCCTGACCTCAGGTGATCCACCCTCCTCGGCCCCCCAAAATGCTAGGATTACAGGCGTGAGCCACCATGCCTGGCCTTAACATTTAATTTTTTTTTTGTGATGGAGTCTCGCTCAGTCACCCAGGCTGGAATGCAGTGGTTTGATCTTGGCTCACTGTAACCACTGTCTCCTAGATTCAAGCGATTCTCCTGTCTCAGCCTTCCGAGTAACTGGAATTATAGGCACCCACCATCATGCCTGGCTCATTTTTCTATTTTAGCAGAGACGGGGTTTCACCATGTTGGCCACACTGGTCTTGAACTCCTGACCTCAGGTGATCTGCCCACTTTGGCCTCCCAAAATATTAGGATTACAGGCGTGAGCCACTGTGCCCAGCCAACATCTAATTTTTATGAGAGTTTTAAAGATTATAAAAATAAGACTCATCCAGTGGAAAAACATTTTTAAATCCCCACCCTAGCCTCTACAACACATTTTCCAGGGCTAGCCACTGTTAATAGTTTGCTACATATTTTTCCATACCTTCTGGTATATAAATACAATGGTTTATTTTAAAAACAAAAATGAGATTATACTATACGTATTGCCTTAGTCTGACCTTTAAGAAATCTGGCCGGGCATGGTGGCTTGCGCCTGTAATCCTAGCACTTCGGGAGGTCGAAGTGGGCAGATAGCTTGAGCCCCAGGAGTTCAAAACCAGGCTAGAGTGCACTGGCGTGATCTCAGCTCCCTGCAACCTCCGCCTCCCGGATTCAAGCAATTCTCATGCTTCATACTCCCGAGCAGCTGGGATTACAGGCGTGCACCACTATGCCCAGGTAATTTTTATATTTTTAGTAGAGACAGGGTTTTACCATGTTGGCCAGGCTGGTCTTGAACTCCTGGCCTCAAGCAATCCACCTGCCTCGGCCTTCCAAAGTGCTGGGATTACAGGCGTGAGCCACTGTGAC